GCTGGGGTTGTTTGGCCTGGAGAAGAGAAGGCTCAGGGGAGACCTCATCGCTCTCTACAACTCTCTGAAAGGAGGTTGTAACCAGGTGGGGGTCGGTCTCTTCTCTCAGGCAACGATCAGTAAGACAAGAGGGCATGGTCTTAATCTCTGCCAGGGGAGGTTTAGGTTGGATATTAGGAAGAAATTCTTTACAGAGAGGGTAATCAGGTATTGGAATGGGCTGCCCAGGGAAGTGGTGGATTCTCTGTCCCTGGAGGTTTTTAAGATGAGATTGGTTGTGGCACTTAGTGCCATGGTCCAGTAACCACAGTGGTAGTGGATCAAGGGTTGGACTTGATGATCTCAGAGGTACTTTCCAACCCAGCTGATTCTATGATTCTATGAAAAACAGAGATTTGATTTAAAAATATATTTACTGGAAGACAGGCTGTGATAAAAGTCAATTTATCTTACAGCTGAGCTCCCCAAAATGAAATAGCCGCCACCACCCATCTACTCTCTACTGTCACTGAATCCAACATGCTGGCAAGTCAGTAAATCTGTATTAGCAGACGAAGTTACCAATGGATAATGAGGACCTGTAAAAAGGAGATTTTCTTTCCTGCAGAGTTGTGCTCCGGGGACGATTACTGGTATCTATGAAATTATACCAGTTGCAGTGTGCTTCTCCTCAGGCTCGTTTAGACAAAGTTGTCTATGTTTGAAATTTTTTGACTTTTCCTTTAGATTCTCATTTTCCTGCTCTCTTTTTGCATTTTTCCTCTTTAGTGTCCTCTCAAGTTGTGACCGCTCCTGCTCCTGTCCAGGAGCAGGACTTGGTGTCTGGACAGTGGTCCAGCCCTCATCAGCTGATAACCTGGGGAAAGGGTTATGCCTGTGTTTCTACAGATAATGGACCGCTGTGGGTTCCTGCTCGGTGTGTGCGTCGTGTTGTGTCTCAGGGAGACCAGCACTGATGACTCCTATGCAGAACAGCTCAAACTCCTCAGCCCATGGAACAGCAAGAACGTCTGGGTGACCCTGATGAAAGCACTGAACCAGACTACCTTCTGCACCTCACTGAGGCAACAAGACCTGCCTTTTCATACGTGCCTTGTTGGAGCACTTGTAAATTACTCTGATGCAGTGAAACTTGTTTCTAACGTTACACTATTGCCCACTCTGTTCACAAAAGCTTGTAATGCTTCTGCACTAAGCTGCATTGCAAACTTGCCACTCATGTAGATAGAGTAAGATTGCAGTATGGTGCTGCTATTGACTTCCTGCTGCTTGCCCAAGGACATGGTTGTCTCGTTGAGGAATTTTGGGATGGTTACTGTCTTTGCTTAAAATGGGGATCCTGATTTTAGTGGTGATTGTAGTTGTGCTTGTAATGTTGCCATGTTTGGTGCTGTGTTTGCAAAGGGCCCTGCAAAGGACAACCCATGTGGAAGGCACCAAACAGAAACAGAGACTATATCGTAAATGGAGACAGATCTACAAAGAGTATAATGAAGATGAAGTTTAATACTATGGACTCACATACTGAAATGGACATTTGTGAACAGACCTTCGAACTTAATTGACGTGGATAATGTTGTTTTACCCCCATTGGTAATGTTAATGCATGTTAAAACCATTGTACCCCAGTTGTGGATTCATATTTTATTCCATTATAAGTTTTCCCTCATGAACCCTTTTCCCTGATTGGTTGTTAAGTCCCCAGTTATGATTGGTGAGATTTTGCTGCAGTAAGGCGGTCTCGCCACACCCCCCAGGTCACCCTATAGGTTGAAAGTTAATGTATTCCCTCTGTTATTCCCCTATTGGTTCTCCCCCTATGTCAGTCCCATGCTCCTCCCAGTTTCTAGACCTTTCCTTCCCTGACCCTATATAAGTCTTGTTCGCCCCTTGTTATGGGCAGGACCTTCGTGGCTCTGCATCAGGAAACACTCTCGTGTCTCCTGTATCCTTACCATCAATAAATCTGCTGCAGACTGCGAACCCCCTGAGTGCTGTCAGTCCTTCCCTACCCGGGCTGCGGCAGACCCAGGCAATTTTCTTAGTACAAATACAAAAAGAGAGAAATGTAGGGGTCTGTAAGCTCCTTGGAAGAGGAGATTGACTTGGGAAACTTTTGAGTGTGGCCTTGAAGATAAGGAAATTTTACACACAGGCTAATTGGGGAGCGAGGGCGGACTGTGAGTCCATAGATTTGGTATGTGAGAACCACAGCCTTGTCCTTGGGCATCTAGGTGTCTCACGATTGCTGCCAAGTGTATTGGTAATGATGAGTGGCCAATTAGGATGATGTTGCTTGCTTGCCGCTTTTTTGAAAATTATATAAAAGGACCTGGGATTTTAATAAAAGGAGGTCTTGTCTTATGTTGCCCTGAATCAGCTTTCTTGTGTGTTTTTTATTGGACCATCACAACTTAATGGTGACAACCAGTAATCTTGTTATTACCATTCAAAAAGTTAACTTTGCATTGGAGAAAGGACTTTTGTTTTGATTTAAGTCTTATTTGCATATTCATTGCTAGCTAGGTTTTATATAAACATGGCTGGTTTGGATATGTCTACACTGTCTTCCAGACACAGACCCAAATCTGCACTCAAGTCGAAGCTCATTCATGCCAGAAGTCTAGGGACTCTGGGTAAAATTCAACCATTGCTATAAGGGCAGGCAATCACATACCACTGTTTAGTATGATCCCAAGCACATTCCTGCCTGCTTTCTGATCAGCACCTACTGACAGTAAAATTGCTATCTCAGAGATAACCGTGAAGAACAGTGCTTGTTTCCAGTAAGACTTTTTTTTGTACCTGTAGTCCATATTCTGATAGTATTGCACAGACAGCATTTTCCCCTATAGGTCTATGAAGGAAGAAGAGCAATAAAGAAAAAAAATTCCCTGTATACCCTTAGCATTAGGGAAATGATATTCATATCTCTTATCTCATCTTCTCCAATAAGAACTACAACTGATGAGTGTATTTTTTCCATCAGTTAATATTCATATGCAAACACAGAAAAAATGGCAAAAGATATTGCAAACAGGTGACACCAAGAGAGCAAGAAACAAATGCGCAGTTGATAAACATTCTCTAGCTTCTGTTGTAAGAGTGAAAAAGCAGCAAATACTGCACAAAGGCCTTATCTGAATAAGAGACATAAACGAGCTATTTGATAGCCCTGCTGTTCTCAGTAGAAATCTTCTAGAAAAATGCTTGCTCAGTTCCCAGAGAAATTCAGTCCTTTTGTGAGAGATCTCACTTTTGTACTTTGCTTCCTTTTTTAAAAGACGAGAAGTTTAATTTTTTTGAACTACAGAGGATGCCTGTTTAGGGCTAAATGTGGACAGTCATACTGTGAACCAGATAAGCTGCATACTTGGCAGAAAAAGAATTGCAAAATGTGATGCTTCTGGCTTCAGTTGACTTCAAGTTGTCATTACAAGATCCTGTCTCTTTTGAAATACTTCTCTTCTGAAAATCTCTAAGTGTGGATTTTTTGCGTGTTACACAATGTTAGGCAGTATATGTTTTAGGAAAATATAAATACAGATAATAAAAATGCACCAAAAGTACATGAAAAGAGATTCAATTTAAAAAAAAAAAAAAAAAGAGAAGTTTGAAATAAGGTAATTGAAAGGTCATGTCATTGTCTAAGCCCAGCCAGCAACTCAGCTCACTCATTACCCCCACAGCAGAAGGAGGAAGAGAATCAGAGGAGCTGAAGTGAGAAAAAGTCATGGCTCAAGGTATAGACAGTTTAATAAGGAAAGCAAAAGCCACACACACAAGCAAAGCAAAACAAGGTTTTATTCACCACTTTCCATTGGCAGGCAGGTGTTCAGCCATCCCTAGGATAGCAGGGCTCCATCATGTATAATGTTTACTTCGGAAGACAAATACCATCACTCCCCACTCCTCCCTCTTCCCCTGGTTTAGATGCTCAGCATGATGCCATGTGGGATGAAATATCCCTGTGGCCAGCTGGAGTCAGCTGTCCTGCTTGTGTCCCCTCCCATCTTGTGCAACTCCCAGTCTTCCTGCTGGTTGGGTGGGGTGAGGTGCAGAAAAGGCCTTAACACTGTGTAAACAATGCTCAGCAGTAACTAAAACATCCCTGTATTATCAACACTGTTTTCAGCAAATATGAAACACAGGCTACTTTGAAGAAAATTAACTTTATCCCAGTCAAAACCTGCACAAGTCATCACTCAGTCTGTTAGTGAGATAAACTTGCTATATGGACCATATTATATTCTCCATTACAACCCCATCTAGAGATGCTTTCCTTGCAAGGTTCTCCGTTTCTCCAGTAATAACAGTGATATTGCTTCTACCCAAGACATCACGGAGTATGTTTTGAAGGTCTGTTAAATAGCACAAAGGTTTTCATGGGTAGTGAATGGGCAATTTTTTCCTACTAGGAATGAAAGATGCAATTAATGGAGTTTCAGTGGGCAAAGAAACTTCTGCAGCACACAACAGCTGGAAAAATTAGTGCACTGTCATGGGAACTGTCTAAGAACTGTTTTCTCTTTCACTGCTCTAGGATGAAGCTGCAGAGAAGCTACACAAATAGTGATGAATTATCCTGTACTGATACACTGGAATGTACTAGATCATGCTGCAGAAGGCTTGTCAATACCCATACAAAATCATAAAATGGTTTGGGTTTTAAGAGACCTTTAAAAGGACATCTAGTCCAAAATCCCTTATCAAGATTAAATAAAAAAGTGACTAAGAAAGGTGTGTGAAAATAAAATCATGTATTTTCTAACCACTCTAGTCACAGATTTCTGGCAATGCCTTCTGCAACCCAGATTTATTCTCTTATTTTCCTACTACTAAGTTCAATTAACTTACTGCATGGAATTCATGGCTTCTGTATGAAGTAGAAGCTATTTAATGATTACTTTAAAAAATGTAATTAACACATGCACTGCCCCTGGCTTGACGTATTTTAACAGTGAAGCTGAGAGAAGAAAAAGCCTCAATGTAATTTAGAACTAAGAAGCTTTGTTTTTACAACTTTATGAGCAGTTTGAAATAATTTAATGAAACTTTCAAGTGTGTTTAAAACAGTATGTACCAGTAAGAAACTGTACCTGAAATTTTATTTCCAGTTTGAAAATTCCAGGAGGTTCAAATGTAGGAGTGAGTACACCACTTTTACAGTAAAGCTGAACAGCATTTATCTGTAAACCTAGAAAAAAACCCCCACATCTGTAAGAAGATTTGGCTTGAAAAAAGTGGTTTTCCTAGTTGATACACTATCTGTAGATTCAGGAGACCTGTTCATCAAGCCCTAAAAATCTAAAAACAAATCAAAAACCTTGCAGAAGTCCTAGAGAATAATGAAACTCTTGAACTGCAGTTTTTCAGGTCACTCATTCTTGGAATCTAATTTCTAACATAATGCCAATGTGTAGAAGTGCTCAAACATTTGTTTGCATCAAAATGACTGTGTTCACACAGCTGCCTGCTGTCTCCGATGCTCACCTGCAATCTGCACTGTGTGCTAGAGACTGCAACTCAAATTGTTCCCAAGCCAAGTCCAAACATGCTGTCTGTACAAAGGGCATGGTTTGCTCTTTCCTGAAAGAAAGACGAATAAAAGTCAGCAGGGAATGCCTCTGATTTCTTCAGTGCATTCCAAGTAGCCTTTTTTATCTACTCAGATTTATTCTGAGGATCAAAAAGAACCTGGCACAGGGCAGAAAAAGCTGAAGAACAGTCAACTGTAAACCTTTTCCTGGGTTATCTCAGGTGAGCCACTTTGTGTCTCACTGTACTTAACACTACCCACAAGGCTGATGTAAGGACAAACACGTTATATGTTGTCAAGCATAAGAATAGGGTCCACATGGAGTGATCCCATTTCCTTCTGACAGACTTGTTGCAAACACTATGACTGTGTGTCTAGTCTGAGTACTGTAAGTAAACTTAATAAATGACCCAACATCCTCACGGTAGACTGTTTTACGTTTTTATCTGACACATAATTTTACATTAAATAATTATGCAACCCTTAGCAATATGTTTTCTTAAGTCTTACCACTGTCAGGTGTAATTTATTATTCTTCTTATCTGAGTTATTTAAAAACCAAACAAAAATCCTTTTTTCTTCTAAAAAACTGTCTTGTGGCTGAATTAATAAAAATCCAATAATTACAACAAACTAATTATTACATTAGAAATTGAAATTCTACAGTACAGCTTGCAAATGGTTCCAGTAACTCTCAAAACCAAAAGGATGTAAAACATGCTACAGGGGAAGGTGAAAAGTGAAGAACAAAAGGATCCTTTTTTATTTTTTTCCTGGCATTTGTGAGGTTTACAAAACCTGAAATAAATTTCATAGATTAGCCAGGATAAGTTGATCTCAGTTATTGTTAAAAAAATTTACATTATGTCTGTAGATCTTTCACTACTGATTGTGCACATTCTTCTCTTCTAGTGAATAATTCTTTTTTTTGTTGTTGTTTTATTAATTGTTGTATTGCAAGGTAAAACTCAATTAGGACACGTTACCTTTGCATAATCCTCCCACAGCTTACTTAGCACAGAAGTATTTGGAAATATATTAACAATTGCTGAAATTGTTAAATTAAAAACTAAAATGAAAAACTACTTAAGACTATTCTTTTTCACTTTGAAACTCATATTCTACACACTAATATACTTTAGGTTACTTTCACTTAAAAATATATTGTAAGTGTTTTGCCTCTGGAAATATTGTCCAAGTTGTAATATAACCCTGAGGAATCCTTTGAGAAAACACCTTGCAGAACAAATCTGCTGTTAAAAAGTCACAATCTTAAGTTTATCTTTGAACTCTTCTGCTGTGACATAAGCTCAGCTGAAAAAGCTGTATTATTACCAGTGTCAAATAAAATTTATGTTTTAATAGGACTAAAACGATACATGAGATGACTGTCCCACAGCCCAATAACTCCTCTTTCACAGATCTCATTGGATACTTCTAATGAAGTAGTTAGTTTACAGCTCTGAATGAAAATTATTCCCATGCAGAAGTAAAGCATGTATACTGCTTTAGGCATCAAAGAAACTGTAGGATTATGATGCATATTCAGCCTGAAAAAGCAAACGAGGGAAAACAGTTTTTTACAAATAAGTATTCCACAAATTTTTCACATGCAAAGCCTGATTCCTTATAATCATCCTTATTATAGCAGACAAGTAATTTCCTTTATTAGAGCTCTGATAGTTTTCCTTCGTCTGAACTCTGTTTGCTACCTCATGTTTCCACTTCTCTGAACAAAATATTTGCAGACTAGAAAACAGTTCTTCCATATGCAAAGAACTAGAAATGTTTGCAGATTGTTTGCACTAAAATAGTGTTTTCTGTCACACATGAAGACAAATATCTAAGACCACCTCTCTCTGGGCCAACATGCTTCTTTTAAATTAAAGTACTAAGCTATTCAGTTCTGAGTATGCATCATTTCAGCCAATATTTAAATAGTTCTATATGTGTTACATAAATGTTGCATTAGAATTATCACTCTGGTAAACCTTGAAATTGACTTTTCTCTTCAGAAATTTCTTCAGGAATTTTCTCTTCTCTACAGGAACAGTATGGTACAATAAACATGGATATATTCCTGTAGCATGGAGATTCCAAGATACATTTAGTTGTGCTGTCTTGGAGTGGCCCTGCCAACATGTGTATGGATTGTTAAATTTTAGGAGAGTGAATACTCACATTCATTCAGAATCTCTATTATTAGGTACTCCCAATGCACGTGGAGTGAGGTCTGTGCCTCTGCACTAATGAAGACAGAGACATATTTACCTGTGTTCTGCAAAGTTTTGATGTGATCAAAGGACAGCATAGTTCCTCACACTTCAGTTATTCAGTTTCAGCTGATGACTCTGCAGTCAGTAAGAGTGCTGAAGATTGTCTCATGGCTTTTGCAATCCTTTTTCTTCATATTTCTGCTCACTCACTGGCAGCAGAAGTCCTGTCATCAGAAAAAAACCTCTTAGCTTTCATTTAAGAGAGAAAAGAATTAAATAGCCAAAGACTAATAAAAACTGTTCAAAACCTCTAGATTTTGGAATTACAAATAATGCTTTTTAGTTACATAGCTTTCCCCCCTTTTTTTCATTGAACCCCATTTTTTTCTTTCAAAAATAATACACAAAGGAAAAACAGTGATGAAAATAAAAGGATTTGTCAGACTTTCTAAAGTTTACTGAAGTTGCCGTATAAATAAATGGAGTAGTGTTTAACTTGTATGACTTCCTTCTACCAGGAATATAATTGATAAGGTTTAGGCCACTTTACTTTTTACTTGCTACTTATTTTATGCTGCCTTATCTTCAGGTCATATCTTCAGAATTACTAACATATTTCATATTTCCAAATTAAAAAAAAAAAAAATTTTTGGAGAAACTGTTTTAGTCAACTACGGGGGAAGGTGGATGGGACTGGGGGGGTGATGTGGAAATCTTAAAAAACAAACTGCAAAACCCCACAGCCCAGGAAACCCATAAAAAAGGCGATTTGGGTAAGACAAAGTCTACACTCTGCCACCATACCCACAAAAAATGCAGAAAAGCATTCACACATGAATTACCCCAAGTAGCCCAATTACAATGACATAAGCAAGGCCTGATTCACCAGATAACTTAGTGCTCCAGTTTACTGCTGATCACTGAGCAAGTACTGCAGCAGAATGGAGTATACCATTCTATACAGTTTACTTGCCACAGAAGAGAAGCTATTTTTAAAAGTTTGAAAGGAAAATGAAGAATTCATAAAAAAGACAGACTTATCAAAGGTGATCTTTCTACTGATATTAAAGCAGTAGGTGAGACTGCATGCCCTCAGCATAATTACAATTAGAGTAATTGCTCTCAAGTTGTATTCCGATTTAGAGTAATTGTTTTCAAGTTGTATTCAAATCAGAGGCTGGTTTATCTTTTGCAGCTACCTTACTGTAATGAAACGTACTGCCTCCCTCAAAGTCTGGTCTTGCTTGAGACATTTAAAATATCTTCTGCACATTTTGAAGCAACAGCTTGCAAAGCAAACCTTGTGATGAGGTGGCACACATTCTTATCATGCTGAACTTTAATTCTAAGCTTAAGTAACAGATTGTAGACGATTTTTTAGTTGTCTGTACATAAGGTTTCGATTTAAATTGCATTTTCAAAAAAACCCCTATTTTTTAACATTAATTTTCTATTTTTAAAATGGCATTTTTGTTCAGATATCAGAAAGCGGGGGTCGGTGGCAGAAAGAACTCTGTCCAAAAAATCTTGCTTGGCTGAATTTTTGGATACCAGTTCCTTTGATGTTGTGTTTGCCGTGTGAACAAAGCCTTTTCTGAGCAGAGTCATACTGCATAATCTGCAAACCTTCATATTAACAGTTGATGATTTTATATGCTCAGTATCAACAAACTCAGTAATTGATACTGGGAGCAACCTAAGATCTTCAAAATATTTGTTCCTAAAGCATTACAGCCCCAGTTTTTGTTTCATATACATTAAACATTTGATAAATGGCAGAATTCCCAATAAAGATTATAAGCCTAATCTTGCAAACTGCCTTTGAGAAAGTAGGAAGAGATACTTGGATTTACAGCCACTCAGCAGGATGCAGACAGTGTAACTGCGAAATATGAAGATTGCATAATCTGGCCTGTAGTTTTAAATCCAGTCAAGAGGTCCAATTAGTTAAATCCTTTGAAAGCAAGCAAAAAATAAATGTTTGGAGAAGAAAATAAAATTCTGGTTTGTAGTCTTGTACAGGCATTTAGTATATTTCTTTGGCTTTCAGAAACATATGAATTCTGCATTATTTTTTAAAATTCATTATAATCTGTTACCACAGAATGGGGAACCCATGGAAGTGTTGCATAACATTTCTTGTGGCACATCTTTTTGATTAGTGGTCCACAGATTCGTAACATGTTATCTCTTGGTCTTGCAAAACTATCTCCTGGACAGTTTGCAAGACTTATTTCTGAAGTAATTCTAAATTGTGACTCCGATTTAGCACTATTTGTTTTCTTGTTTTTACAATTAAAAATTTCATACCCATAAAAATAGTCTCCGCATTAAACTCCTTGAAAATTAGAAAAATCTACCTAGAACCTACTAAGTCTGATGATTCAGCTTCACAAGTTGTTATGCACCATTCATGAAAGACATCTGAACTTCCATCTCAAAAGGTTTCCCGGCCCTTTTGACTGCTTCTTTTTCTCAGTTCTTCTCACATACATTTTAATTACTTTTTCAGAATTAGAGTAGCTTTCATAAAAAGTACACCTCCAGACAAGGAAACTGCTGAATCACCTATGTCCTTTGGTTATTTTACTGTTTTAATTATTAACATTAATTATTAATTAGTATTATAAATGAATACTAAAGACTAAGCTTTGAGAACACAAAACTTTGTTGTTAGTGAAAAGGAGATATAAAAGTACCAATTACCATCCAGATTTTTCTTCCGCATATCACATCAATTTTCAGAGTTTCGTTTACTTTCACTTTGTTATGAAAAATTTTGGCAAAGACCTTCCAGCTGAATAAACCAGCAATTTCCCAGTATGAGAGGTTTTATTAAATGTAAGTTTTCTTATAAGCCAGAGTATGGTTCAACATGAGTCCTTGTTCCAAAACAACTGTCACAACTGCCAAGTAATTACCATGTGAGAATAAGTCAAAGTTTCTCTATGGAAGCAAGAGAAAAGAATTAGCTCAAGAGAGAAGAAGAAAATATGGAGGATGTTAGTAAGTGGAGCAGATTAATCTTAGTATGTACAATTTAAACAGAGATACTTTTCCTGAAAATTCAAACTAATCACCAGTGTTTCCAAATGCAAAAAAAAATATGACTTTTTTTTTTTTTTAATACCCCCAGTATTCTACTTTACCATTATTATCACTAACTTTATAATTTCTGAAATCTCTCACTTTTAATGATCTACCAAATCCAGAGAGTACTTGGGGAATAACCTAATACTAGCATATTTTTATGGTATGGCAAACTCCGGAGCACTGAAACCCTAAAGGTCTGTTTGGTTTGCTTGACTGGTTCCTCTAAATTCTGCTTCCTCTTTGCCTTTCCCCCTTCAGCTGCTTTGTGGCTTCTGCAGCTCATATCATGAGTACAGGAAAAAACAGTTCCCTCAGAAGTAGTTTAATATTTGTTTGCTTCCAATTCAGCATTAAGTGTGGAATATACTATTAGCAGATGAAAAGCCCTGAAGAAGAGTTGTTATCCTGTGAAGGTATTCTTTATGTCTTCAGACTGCTCATCAAAGATAAGTTGGTGTGAAAGATAAAAGCCAGTCCTATACAGGACATGACATCAACTCACTAGAACCAAATTGTCTCCATCTGTCCATGTGGATTCTAGGTGGACAAAAACTCTCTCACTAAGAGGTGCTGCACAGCAAACTGCTAAATCAGGTGAATGTAAGGTTTTCTTCTCACCCATTTCAAGGAGAGCTAACTGGAACTACAAATCAGCCCCTTCCTATCTAAAGGCATTTGACAGTTTCTTCTCTCCCTCTCATCTCCTCCCTTCCCCTTTTCTCTCCTTTCCCCTCATCTTTTCTCCCCTCATCCTGAGATAAATCTGTTCAGGCCTAACTGGTTCAAATAAAACAGCTTTTTTCCCATTAAAAAGCCAGCCACTTTTTTTCCATTAAAAGCTGAAGATATCTACCATTCCTCAAAAGCTTTATCTGAATTGGATTCTTTTCCTGAATCCTATCATTCTGCGCAATTGTAGTAGGCTGGAAGATTAACAAAATGCTGGGGGTTCAATATCTCCTTACAGTATGTTGCATCCTGAGTCCTCCTGTAATACACAGCAAGGGCTTAGTGAAACAATCCTGTTCCTAGTCTTTTGCTGTTAGTTGTATAAACTGGGAGTTTTTATGAATGAAAATTTTCTTCCGAAGGACATTGTGCTGGTATTGAAGAATATGGAACCCAGCGTGAACATGTGCAGTGTTGGAAAATTAATGCACAGGGCATTTGTTCTACATAAACTCCTATAGCTCTGCCAGCATCAGACCTAAGATGATGTAAAGGCTTACTTGCAGCGACCTTTTTGCATCATTGATATAGAGCTTCTAGAAAATTCGACCTTTGCATTAGCTGAAAGGACCATTCTGATGAGAAGGAAGCAGCAGTAAGTATCCCATCACAAAGTTTCTCTTTCGGAGAATGCCACTTTGCCAGATTTCACATTGTACAGTGAGAATTCAGTTATTTACCAAGGAACAGTAAGAAATGCACATACACATATATATGACTATATTTATCAGGTAACTACAGAATAAAAGAGAGTAAGCAATTGCACCAAGTCGTAATCAAAGACCTGAGAAGCTTTTGCTAGAAATGGTGCTCCCTGGGCACTGTTGTACAAGCTGGGGGATTTAGAAAGAGAGATGTGAAAAAGCCGCAGTTCCCAAACAGTATAACCCAGCTGCCCTGGAGCCACTGACCCTCGAAGCCAGGCTGTCCAGACAAGCACCAGCCAAAGGGGAGGGATAGCCTGGCTCTGCCCCAGGCAAGACGTGCCAGCGCCGGCTGCCGCCGAGCACCGCTGCCGCCGCGCTGGTGCTGCAGCCGGAGCCCTCTGGCACAAAAATAAGCCCCGAGCCAACCTCCGTACCTGCCCTGTCAGCCTCCCTGCCTGCCTTGAGGTGAACCTCCCGCTGCCCCGGGAGGGTCTCCCAGGAGGCTCAGGCGCAGGGCTCGGCTCCAATTAGCCACTTGTGCGCGCCCCCGCCCTTCCTCCGCCACATAAAGGCCGGCGAGCCCACCGTAGGGCAGGTCTTTTTGCTTAGGGAGTTTGGCCGTGCAACGGGTATCTCCTCGGCCGTTTGTTTTTGCCTGCCGTTTTCCTTGCCCAGGTGGATTTGGGGCCGCTTTGCTTCGGTTTTTGACCCCTGTCGCTGCGGTACTAGCCGGCTCTGCCGCAGAGCCGCTCCGGTGCGCTCGAGGCTTCCTGAGCCGGCACAGCCCAGGGGTGTGGGGCCGAGCCGGGCCGAGCCAGGGGAGTGCCGCTGGGGCATCATGCCTGCCACCTTCGCCGCGAGGCGCCTGGGGCTCCTGCTGCCGCCGCTGCTGCTCTGCATCAGTTTCTCGGGCGGGAACCCCGCAGGTAAATGTAAAAACTCTTTTGTGCCGCGGCCCGGGTCCCCTCCGCCCTTAGTGTCGAGCGGGCTGATGCGAGGGGGGCCGGGACACGGCCTGGGAGCAAAGTCCTCCCTGTCCCGCAGCATCCCCCCTGGCTCCCGGGGGAGCGCAGCGCTGGCCCGGCCGGCCGGCGGGTATTCGGCCCTGCCGGTGGAAATGGCTGAGCCGTTTCTTCTCCTCAGCGGCCCTGACCCTCCCCGGCGTCCCTACCTCCCTCAGCGCTCGGGCCTCTCTTGGGGCAGCGGGGAATCAATCCCCTCACCGCTGTCCGAACGCATCGGGGTGGCTGGTGGTGGCCCATCTGCTTTGTGCGGTCCCTTAGCCTCAGCGCTGCCTCTTTCAGAAACGGGAGGGTTTTCTAGCTCACAAGTGCAGGACTAGGGGGCTGAGGCTTAGTGTTCTATTGCTGCCCTGTCCTTACTGAGTAAAACGTTTAAATCCTGGAGTAAAAGCCAAAGAAGAACAACTTCGTAGATTACAGTGCTAAAATATCAGTGTGCCTAGCAGGTTGTGAGGAATGCTCCTTGGGATTTAATATTGAGGTTTTAAAAGTGGTGTTTAAAATCCACGAAGGATGAGGGGCTTGAGCTTTCCAGGTCCTATTCTTCTTGTGGTAGTTTTCAGCAGTTTAGTCCCGGGCCAGGCACCCCTCAGGAAATACGAGTTTATTTCTTAAATCAGTGGATTTCTGCTGTTAATCCCTGCTTTGGGAGGCACTGCAGAGTAGAATGAAATGGTGTCAGGAGGATCTACGAAATAGCTGATGTTTGTCTAGAAAGTAGGATGAGCTTTCTAGAACAGATCTTGCCAAGGCTGGAAGTTCTGTCACAATATGTTTGTGAACACCATGGCTGGGAGTTGAATTAACCATCAGTAGGTCAGTTGCATTTTCAATGTACGATATATAAATGGTTACATGTTTGTTCCTGCGTCCGTAATACTGAGAGGAGCAGTACTTTTCTTGTGTGATGGTAATTTTTGTGAAATTTGTAGTGGTCTCGTGTAATGTGAAAGAAAACGTACTTTGCAGTTCTTAAGGCTTATTTAAAATACATATTTATTTGTGCAGGGGAAAATTTGCTTTGTAGTTCTTAAATAGTCTAAAATATGCACATGTATTTCTGTACACATGCAAAACTTCATTGAGCTTACTTCATTGAAAAGTTTTGTGACTGTAAATTGCCTGATATTTATAGGAACATGTAAGTCACCATGTGGCTAACTTGCCATAAGGTGTTTTTTTTTCTAATGTCTGTTGCTGCCAAAAAATTGTAACCTGATGATAGCTGAAGCAATTCTAAGTTTATATCTATAAAACCATTGTTGAAATGATGTGCTCTTCCGGAAAAAAAACCAACAAACAAATCAAACAACAGTACTCTGTTTTTGTTTCCAGAATTCCACAAATCTACCATCTTCCTAAGGCAATGGATATCGGGTATGGTTTTACCAGAAATAAACCAACAGCTTTAGTACCTTTTACCTGTATAGAGTAAGGCTGTGGTTTTTCAGACTTGCATTAAACGCCTTTATAGCTACATGAATGAGGTAGGAGGCTTCATACTGTGATTTCTGTGATGATTTAGATGTAAGGAAAAGTATTTTAGTCTTCCAGTGGTTATCAACCAGAACGTGTATAAAGCTAGTCAAGCGCAGGGACTGTCTGCAGAGCTGCAGCAAAGGGAGGTTCATGCTTACTTGGAGGGAGAAGAACTAAAAACTGTCTTCCAGTAAAGTCCATCAACACTGTGTTTTGGAGATGTAAGGGTTCTTCAACCAGGAGAAGAACTTGCAGTATAAGTAACCAGAGTGAGTACTAAGTGCACAATGACTGAGTTCCGGAGGGCTGAGTTACATAGCCTTCTGCAGCTGGTCAGGTAGATATCAGAAAAACCCTATTAAATTTTTGTTTTGAGATACGTAGCTTGTAGAAAATACTTATTTTTCTGCTATTTTTTCTTAGCTGTTTAGCTTAGATAATTGTTTTGGAAAAATTTAAGCCATTCCTTTTATTCTGTGTTGAGCTAAGGGTAATTTCTAACATATCACAGCACTGTTGTTTGGAGCTCGCTTTTTTGTTCGGTTACTGTTTTGGTTGCCTAATGTAGTTGACTGATTTAGGAAAAGCAATCCCACCACATCTCATCTCTCAGCTTCTGCTCCTGAAGAAACCAAGGACCTAGGAGTCGAGAACTCATCTCACTTTTTATGGACTTTGTTTATAGGTTGGGTTTTTCTGGTTTGCCCTGAGGGAAGGGCATTTATCAGGGCATTTGGAAGTCCTTCATGTTGTTTCTGTGGTGTCTCAGGGATGTTAGGAGGTTCTAATCGCTGGTTTGGGATGCAATTGAATGCTTGTGTAGTTACACAGAGTGTATGATTGATAAGAAATCTTAATGATGTTAAATTAAACTAAATTGTATTTCAGCGTTTTCTTGTTCAGCTGCTTTTCTGGCTGAAAGAGAGCAAATAGATTTTTAAGCCTGACATAGTTCTGACGGTGATGAGCATGGTACATCCACAGTTTATCCCCCAAATACTGGCTGCAGTATGGAGCAGAGGTATAGTGGAAAAATAAATTAGTGACATCATACTCTTGGAACAAAAGCTCTACAAACTACCACACTGTCGATTAAATCTAATGCAAGTAAGTCGGAGGCTAAGGCATGCAGCCGTGGCTCAGTAGTTTGAGAAGTTACTCGACTTGCTTACATCATTACCTGGCTTACATCATGCAGTGCTGCCTTATCTTGATCTCTAATGCTGTTCAGCAGGTGTATATGAGAGAAGAGCGGTGCAATGTTATCTCTGTTTGTTTGTAGTTTGTTTGTTCTCTCTGTTTATCTGTAGTTTGTTATATGGGCAGATAAGACTCAAGATATGAAAGCTGTGGTGACAAGAAATAACACTACTTGACTGCTTTCACTGAGTACGTGAATCGAGGAAAGCCAAGATGAGAATCATGTTAATATGCAAACCATGTTGCAGGTGATATGCCTTCACTGCAGAGACATAATAGAGCTGCTGTACATCTTGGCACTTGCACCTTCTAAATTTATTATCTTTGAGGATTTTAATTACTGTGCAGGTGATACACGACATACTTAGAATGCCTCAAGATGCTACAGGTATAAAAATCTGGGAAGCTTTCTTCAATCTTACCATGAATATCAGAAAAATAGTAGCTCTTCCTACTCTCAACATCTCTGTAAAGTAGAGAATAAGACTTACTGGCTGGGTCATAAGCCAGGAGATCTTCAGAGCAGATTTCTTAAATTGTTATATTAGGGGAAGGATGGGTAGGGAAGAGTTAGCTGTGGCACCAGTGGTCTAATATGAAAAAGTATGCAAATTAAACAAACTGTTGTTAAGAACCCATAATGCTTAATTTTTAAAATCATATCCTTTGACTAGCTTGTTTTACTCTTGATCCAAACTGGTTGAAGTATGATGGGCAGATTGAGAGAGCAGATGGTGCAAACCAGGCATGATTGTGATGTAGTCTTGAGTAACTGTGTGCTGAAAGTACCAGTGGGAGAATCTGTGGGTTGTCTGTGCCTGTAGCGCTGAAATGGGGTAGGAGCAATAGCAGTGTCATTCATTTGTAGGAAATGGCAGAATGCTGACTTCACCTTTGCTGAAGGCATGTAGTTCTCAAAAAGTTTGAATGAACTTAATGTATGATGTAGCTTTTTGGTTTTCATCTGTGTGTGTTCATTGCTGTCTTGGATACCTGAAAGAGCTTATCACCCCCATGCCCCCAGGACTTTAACTGCATCTGTAAAAAACAGAGGCAGAATCCCTTACTTTGAGTGCTGTGGCGGTAGAATATGTCCTGCAGTACCTTAACATGTGAAGATAGTGTTTGTTTTGTGCTAACTAGCTCTGCCACCCAAATGTGAAAACAGAAAGGAAGGAACAAACATTTCCATTCTGCTAAAACATCTACTTACCTTGAATTCTTAGTAGAAGAATGACACAAAGACTTAAAGTAAGCAAGTTGTCTTCTTCCCCTGCTCTTTCTCCAGTCAAGAACATAAAGCAAAATCCTAGAGTCTTACCTGGCTGTTGAAAAAAAACTGTTATAGGAGGAAGATCAGATTTGCTGTGGTGTTAAGGAAAATGGAAATCATCATAACTATTATATGTTGAAGTTCATGTTTGATACAGGTATCTTGTTTTGCTTACCAAAGTGCTAATAGGAGGAATGAGGTTTGTCCACTGAATCACACTAGACTTTTAAGGTTGTAGTGAAATCCTTATTCTATTAGCAGTTCTGATAATCCATGTTAAAAATAGTCAACTAGAGTCAATGGTTGTCTAAGCCCAGGAAGAAGTCAGGAGTACAGTGTTCATAAAGTCTACTGTAATATTTCCAAATAATGGCTTTGCTTGACTATAGGCTAACTACAGGAAAAGAGATGTATACAGAAATTAGAGATTAAATTAATACTGCCTCTGTTCTTCAGTATTTTCTTGCCTAAAGTGAGCTAAAGAACTGCTCAAAAACACTTCTTGTGTGTTTTTCCATGTATATACTCAGAACTCGGGAAGAAATGGAGGAGGAATACTGAGGTGAGGAGCTTCTTCTTGAATCGTTTTCATGAACTAGCTACTAACTGGAACAAAATGTCTTTAAACTTTTTTTTAGATCCAGTTATGACAACACAAGATACCAATCAGTCTCAGGCGAACTCCTTGACTAAGATGCAAGCTGGACTTAATGAATCATCTGGTAATTGTTTTATTTCAGTACACCTAAACTTACAGTACTTTTTCCTAGTGATACTTTTTTATTATGTAGCATATTTCATGCTCAAGTCTTTTAAAATATTGTCACTTTTCAGAAGAAACGAGTAGATAGTATTATCTAGGCCTTTTAAAGACACTGCATTAAGAGATTGAGTGTTATAAGTATTTGTAGTATTGGAAAAAGCTATCCAGCTGCCAGTTGTGTGACCTCTTGCCCTTATGCATATATGTCATTAAAGCAGGCATTGACCCCGGAGGTTGGACAATGCTCAAAGTAGTACCATTGCAGGAGTGTTCTACCACTTAGACTTGATAATTTTTCATGTGAGGGCTCCTTATGGTCCTGTGTTGGTAAAAGGTGTAATAATGCTCTTGCATCACTGTACCTGCTAGCTTCATCCATCTATTTTATTAATTACAGCTGTGTCAAAACATCTATTGTTCCTTTTATTTTTATTTGCTGTATTATGGACCTTAACTGTGGTTTTGACAGGAAGCAGAGAATAAGTTCCAGGCAGGAGAAGAAATGAATGATTGTTGAATCTACCTCTTATCTCTCCCTAAAGATCAGAGAAGCAGGATTTTAGCAGTGTACCAAAGCTCGATACGTGCAAAAAAACAGGGGCAAGTTATATTTGTACATAAACTCAATCAAGTTATGACAAGTTGCTCCCTCTGCAGTTGCGTTTTTTTTTTTTTTTGAGATAACGCTTTTTATCTTCTGTTCATCTTCAGAGCTTTGTAGCTCCGTGAGATCTGTGAGTGCAACAGCTAATAGATTCAGTAACTTCTACATACATGAACACAAATGGATGTACAAGCTAAGATACAGGAAGTATTTCATATAATATGACCTCACCTGTCTATTTTCATTTGCTATGTGAATTGAGGATAAAAAGTATGAAAATCTTGTTGGAGTGCAAGACACTTTAAGGGTTGTCTAGTTTTATGTGGATGGGTAACAGCTACCATATGAACTGGCACTGGTGCCTTCTGAACATGTCATGAGGGATTTTAATAACAAACCAGGTGATGCATGTAGTAGACTGACAGAAGCTCAGGTGATTCAACATGCCATGGCATGTTGTCAGTGTTTGTGCACACAGGCTAAGGTTTGCCAGAACTCTTTCAACCTTTGTATGTTGATTCATGGGTAAACACTGGACTAGTTTGTTTCTCCACTGGGCAGAAACCAGGGCTTGCTTGTGTTCTTGGCTAGATCAGCAGGACTTAGCGACTAGTGCTAGGGACAGCTTTGATTCCTTTGCTTGAAAAGTCATTTTGGACTGCTAGCTGAGATTGACAACAGTCTACTGTCAACAACATGCCCTGTTCTTCCATACCAACCACCTTAGTATATAGGTTTATTTTTACTTACACGGGTTGAAACTTGACGGAAGGTATGAAAGTGCAGATGGAACAAGCCAGGCAAAAGATTTGATTGCCTGTTGCACAGCATTCCTTGTGCTGTGAGCTGACATGATGCCTTCTGAAATTACCCAACAACTTGAAAGCCGTGTGGTACCTCTGCTTATGCTTTTAGATGCAAACTACTAGCAGGAACCACTGTCAGCACTGAGCTGAGAGGCATGTGTTTAAGAACTTTACCTGAAAGTTCCTTATTTTATTCAGGAAGGGAGAAGGAGTAATGATGAGGAGATCTAGGCTTTCAGAGGTACTATTTCTATTGCACAGCAATCAACTCTGCCACCCCGTGCTTCTCTCAGCAAGAAGACTAAAGCTGCAGCCCAATTCCTCTTATTTTCTCAGTTGTGAGTAGGCATCTTTTCTGTCCATGGACAGAAGAGATTATGAAGCCCTTTTCCTTCTACAAAATCCAGAATAATTTTCATGCTGTATGATTAGGCAGTAATTACTATTCATGTATTTCTGCAATGCATTATGGAATATCTGACAAATTATTTTCAAGCATGTAAGATGCAGCTTAAAATGATTAGTGTGCCTAGTGGGAGTGGGGGGAATCTATTTCCTTTGTTTCATCACTAAATTAAAAGAAGGTTATTGTAGTTGATCTACATCTGTTAGAGTTTATTAATTTAATCTGTAGTTTTTTTATTTGCTTTTTTCTGTTCTTGAAATGCACCAAGTGTGTGAACAAGTGATGGGAACAGACTGTGCTTACAGTTTCTGTATCAAGCTTTGTAGGGCTTTATAAAGGATCTCTCTGGAGAGTATGTGATCCATAGCCCTTTTGTGAAAGGATTTTGCAGACCATAGTAAACCTCTTAAATGTAGGTTTTCCTTACAAAAGGAGTAGTTTTAGTCAGGCAGATGATGATTAATATTGATATTCTTCATGTGATATTCTTCCAAATGCATGTGTGGAAGCACATTTCCTGGATAGGACAACAGAAGTTTAGTGCAGCAGTGAGGATCTCTGACTATGTTCTAGTGGATCACATGTTCTAGTGGTGTTCTTACCTAGACTTCCTGGCTGTATGATAAAATAGTAGTGGCTTCGGGAATGGCAGCATTCTGTCCCTCTGTTTCTTTGTTTTTCTAAAGCTTACTGCTTTTTCAGGAACTGTTTAAACATGGATGTAGTCCTGTATGGTTCTAGGATCTATCTGTAAGCTATAGGTGACTTTTTGAATCAGGCTGTGAAACAGTGATGACATTTTTGGAGTGTTGACATTCACAATCACAGCATTAAAATAAAGCTGGAAACCATCTTCTAGCATAGCATAAGTGGTATAACAGTAACCCCACAATACTGCTGCTTTAAGATTCTGACTGTTAACACACAAGGTATAAAATAGGATCTCTATAGTACTCAGCATTTGGCAAGGTTATTGCCCCCGCCCCCCGTGACTGCTGTAAGTAATGGTTGCACTACCTTACTGACATGCTGCTGTGTGATTACTTACATAGTTACTTTGCTTTGCCCAAACCTTGTTAGGTTCAGATCTTACCACACAAGATCTCAAGCAGCCAAGCAAGGAGCACCAGTCTAATGGCTCTTTTGTGCAGTCCGAGATACTCCTACCTGGTGAGTGTGTTAATTTTTGTCTTCCATTATTTTATAGACAGTGCCTGTGCTTACACACAGTCTTTCATGTGAGCTGTAGAAGGAGTGCAGATGCTCAGAGAAAGCACGTGATGAGCTCAGTAAAAGAATAAAAATAAGTTTATGTTACCACTGACTATTGTCTTCTAACAACTATTTTGCAGTAGAGAATTACATTCTTTATTAAAACTGCAAGTAAAAACAATTCATAGCTATCTCTTCCTCCAAATCAATTGAAGCAACAATTCTTTTGTGCCAGTGAATCCGCTCAGAGAGACCATGTAAGCTAGGGTGCAGGTGTTAGCTTAGCATCATTGCTGGAGTTAAAGCATGGAGAAAAGGTAAGATTAAACCCATTCCTAAAGAAGATGTGAAGTTCCCAGTTGCAAAATAATATTTTATAATTAATTTCTTGGACAACTGGAGAAAGTGAAATCTCTCAAAGGTTTACAAAGTGTTGGCATGATATTTTAAGAATATAATTGTGCAGCATTTATGCTGTATTTTCTTCTGGCAGGAAACTTAAGGTAGTGTCTGTTTCCTGTTATGTTATGTGCACTCTTAGTTCAGGGTTGCCCAAGATGTCAGTCTTACTAGTGGTTAATCTTCAATATCACAGTGTTTCCTTGTTCTGTTCATTTAAAGGGTTGCTTTAAAATAATATCAAAAGGTACAGATTCTATTTTAACCAGACTTTCTCTGCTGGGAAACCAATTCCATTTGTAAAATTTGATCATAAACAACCTCAAGAAACAGAGTTATGCTTGATTCATTTATTGTGTAATTGCTCTAATAAATGTTTCAGTAACTGACTTTGCTCTGCTATGAATGGCTGAAGTGTTGCACTTCTAAGTTTATCTCCAGTTCAACAGATCTAAAATATTTTGACTGGGACTTGAAGTTCTGGACATGCTGTTCTTCAGGTTATAAATTTCTCTGCCAGATGCAGTCAAGTTCATTTATTCTGTATTGGGAAGTATCTGGTGCTTCTACTTCATCCAGGCCTTGCTGTTGCCCACGTATGACTTGCATTACTAAGACAGTGCGCTGTATCTTAAAGCTTCCTTTTGTCTTGGAAAGAATGCAAACTGTGAAATACAGCTGTACTTTCTTGACCATCAAGTACTGCATGGTAGGTCTAGGATTAGGGTGATGCTTGGGAATAAATTTTCATAGAGAATTCAGATGGACTAACCACACTTCTATCTAGAAGGCATGAAAGAAAAGGCCAATTTTGGAATAAAATGTCATTGCTAACAGGTACAATGTCTAATGTGTTTTCTTATAAAAGGCCGTTTCTGTGGGTCAGAAGATACTTGCTGTTAAAGGCTACTTTTTGGATATGTGTGAACCTTGTTAAAAGCAAAAACCTATCATGTTTCTCTACTCTATTGGAATGTTTTCACATTGTAATTCTGCTGACTTGTCAGGAAGGCAAAGGCAGCCATAGATTGGTTTGAAGATGATTTGATTTCAGCTGGAGTATCTGTAGTGTGAAAGACCAGATCCAACTGTGATCCAACAGTGTTAGGGCTATGGATTTTATCAACAGCTTCCCTAGAATTATGATATGGCTGTGCTCTCAGTATCATAAAAATCTGCAACTGTCTAAAATCCAGAGGGTTAGAGATATTTGTGGCTTACTCTTCTTGACATTAATATCACTTTATATGTACTTACTATGTACTTAATATTTTTGTTGGTATTAAATCATATCAGCATGTGAATTTACCTTGCTTTCAGTGAAATCATTATCTGTATTTCTATATTAGACCCCTTTATAGGTAAACTAGGAAGTTTACCTACAAAATGGAGTGTGTTATTTTTGTAATTAATGTGTATCATAATGTAGCTTAAGAACATTACTGAACTACATTGCAGGGTTTTTTTTTTACCCTGTAAAGTATGAGTAGTGCTCTGTATTCAACTGTAATCCTGCACATGTAAACCCAATCTTCCAATCTCTTCTTTCCCCCAGCATGAAATATGGCTTTTTTTCATTAAAAAATTTTTAAACTTCTTCTAGGTCCTCATGGTACTTTGCTGGAAAGAAGTATCAGTTTGGCCAATGCAACTACAGTTGAACTGTCATGTAAATTAGATCCAAATTCTCGTTTGAAAAGTCCTCAAGTGATTTGGAAAAGGGGAAATGAAACAATCAGTCACACCACTAAAACTGAGAACAGCTGGAGCATCAAGTAAGTGACATTCTTGACAGTGTAACTTGCAGGCTCTAAAGGGTTATCACATGTATGTAAACTGCCCAATATTAGTCATGTATATATTGCAAAAGAGCGAAATGCAAAGATAATCATCATATTGAAGGTGCAAGAAAGGAGAAAGGGTGCAGGTACCTCAAGTCTGGAGGAGGAGCTCCTGTTCTTCCTCTAGTGCTGGAAAAAAAAAAAAACAAGAAGAAGAACATAATGAAAAAAAAACCAACGTAAATAAGGACACAGTTCTTTGAGGTTGACTAGTTCTGTCCAGCAAGTGCAGTAGTGATATCACTCTGAGGTTGAGGTATTTTAGCAATTTCTCTTTTAACATTTGTTTTTTCCACCTCATTGCTGCTTTGCAGAAGTCTGAAAAGCATCAATGACCAGATTCTTTCCTTCATAATTAGCAAAACAGAAGAAATCATCATTACACTAGAGATGTTTTGAAGGCTTTCTTAACTCTTTCAAACCTTTACAGAAACTCAGATGTTATAGAAACCTTTCTATATGCAGTTTACTGTTCTTTAAAATTAGGCTGTTTACACATTTTTAACCAGGTGGTCTCCAGTTCATTCCTATATAGCTTAGATTGCTTAACAACAATAATACTTCTATAAAATTTCTATGATAGAAAATATCATGACAATGTCACTTTCTGATATTTCATATACACAAGCACAGCCATGCAAGTCTTTTTCAAAGTGCCAGTGAAACCTGTAGTTTGCCTGTAGTGGAGAAGAAGCTGGACACTATTAGGTGGAAGTTCTTCAAAACTCCTTTTTTGTGTTGAACTAACTGGTTTCAGAGGAGATTACTTCCAAGGTTTGTTCTTCCTAAAGTCCTACATAGGATATGCTAGGTAGTTGACATGGTGAGCCGGATGCTGATTTGGTAACTTATAGATCGTACTGCTTAAAGGTGTTTTGACCTTCTATGACCATGAAGAGTGAAAGTGATTCTTATGTTCTCAAGTGTGGTTGTGGTCTTCTGTTTTCTTAAAAATGTCATACTGTTTCTGCACTGCACTAAACCTGAATCCTGGTGTTTCAGTGATGTGTGTTCTATGCTACTAATCCTTACTGTTTTCTTTAGAATGCTAATTAGCAGTCACTGATAACTGTAGGACAAAAGAAAATACATGCAAAAAGCAAATGAGTGATTTTTTTTTTTTTTTTTTTTAAAGATTGGTGATTGTGGATAGCAGTAAGATGGGAAGTTACAGTTGTATTCTGAAAGGTGCAGAAGAAATCAGTGCTACATTTCATTTACACGGTAACTGTATTTAATTAATTTGTATTGATTTTAAATTTTTGTTTCACCTGAGCACCACAAACCTATATTAATATGGCTTCTAGGTAGTATGGAAATTGCAACTTAATTTGGTAAGTAGTGACTAATAAGGTCAAACTAAGTGAGAATTATTTTCAAAGTCACTTCTGTAACATGGAAGGAGGACAAAAACTAAAAACATTTTTAAAAAAAATTTCTAACAACCAAAAGAACATACAGGTCTGCTTTTTTTCCCTTAATATGTAACTGATCCCCCTTTACCTCTCCATCCCTAGAGCCTGAGTAAATAGTCTTCACTTTCTGGGGAATGGGAGTAAAGGATATGTCTCTAAAGAGCAGAGCCAGTAACTTGAAAGTTTGGTCAGAGGTGTGGTGTTAAATGTGAAGCAAAGATTGGTAGAATAGAGGCAGGTATTTAAAAAATTTCAGTTATGTTTCTGAAACAGTAAATTACTGCTTTAGTGCATTTTTTATTCTTTGTAAGAATAGCACTTATATGAACAATTAGGTGCTTCATTGGGCAGTATGAGCGCTCTTTCTTCTGTTCTCTTCTCCAGTAATCTTACCCCTGACACTACTAGGTGAGTGGAAGATGTGTGGAAATGAAACTAATACAAGCTGCTGTGTTATGATGAATAACTCTCACAAGAGACTTATTCCCTTCTCTGTTCGCACTACCCAAATTTTGCAAATAGCAAGGGAAGCATTTAATCTGTGAAGGATCTACAGGCTCGTACATGAGAGTTCTTCTCTGACCACAGACTCTGAGAAACCCCAACCCTTCAATATCTTTACCTAATTATAACTAGCAGGGCTTTCTAATTCTCAGTGTTGCAAGCTACCTTTGTTCAGTGGGGCATCTGGTAATATGACTTCAGCAAATCTCATGTGTGTAAGTATTTAATGTTGATAACCTGGTTTCAGACTTCCAGCCAGGGGAGACTAGGTTGCAGTACTGAATGAAGACAAAATTGTAGTTTGTTCAAGCCTTTTAATCTGTGAAAATGATTATGTATTTTTCCTGTCAGCATGTGGGTAAGGTTTAGTTGAGTAGCTAACCACATTTGTTTTGATGGGAAAAAAAGTCCAAGGAGGCCTTTTTTTTTTCCTTTTGAAAGTATACATTATCTATTTCAGTAAGGGCAGCAATGACTCAATACGGAAGTCCTCTTTTCCAGAACAGTGCATAGGACTGGTTGATTTATTATAAGACGATGGGAGAATTGCTTCACAATGGTTGAATGCCACCACTTCTGATGCCGTAAAAAGTACTGGCTTGACACTTTCTATGATTAATGCAAGAGTGAAAGAAATGGAAGAGAGAAGTCCTTGAATCTTTCAGTCAATAATGCAGGGAGAACAATTCTCAGACTGAAAGATGAATAATGTGTTGGTGTAAGCTCAGTGGCTAAAGTCATCACTGCTGTAACTAACTGCAATAGCTCTTTCACTAGGCAGTTTGGCATCACTGAATGTGTTACCTCTCCTTTCCCCCCTGCTTCCTGGCCTGATGTAACCCTGCAGATTTTGGGGAGTTAAGTTTTTATTCATGTCTCCAGACAACAATGAGGTATTTAGAGGAAGTTCAAATTATTAAACACAGGGAACATCCATGGGTATTTTAGAGTGTTGAGAAGTGTTGCAAGCTTGTGAAAGGGTAGAATAGACTAATTTGTGTTTACCCTTTGTTCAGCAATCCATAAGCATGGGTGGATCCATGGTGGATATTCAAATCCTTAATCATGGCTAATGTGCTCACATGTATTGCTGGTATACCTATAGCTGTGCTTTGCCACTGATCAGCATGGCTAAATCTTTTTGCCTATCACATAAGCTTGTTGTGCTGGGTAGTATATGTGGGTTTTGTTTGTTTCGTCTTGTTCCTTTTTTTTTATTTACCCCAACCTTCTTTTGTCTTTTTCTTCTCTAAATTGCAGGGGAGGTGGCAGCAGTTATTAGTGAGGTTGTCCCTTTTACTCATAGCAGTGAACATACTCTGCCAGTATTCTTACGGGTAGTGTTCAATGATAATACATACACATGGAGTGAGACTTCATTAGTAATGAGGCTGGATTGATGTATTGTGCAGCAAATGAGGCTGAAAGCAATTGTGCTTATTAACAAATTAGGTTTATGTTTCTGGACTGGAAACTCTGAATACACGAGAAGTCAGCTTTTTTTGGAAAAATAGTTTGTACTCAGCTAGTCAAGAAGAGGGGACCAAGAACAATCTTAGTTTGTATCATCATAACTACTGAAAGCAAGTACTTGGCCTATTTAGTGTGATCAGTGTAATTTAAAGTATTTACTGGATCTGCATGTACCAAGTAGAGCAAAGAAACTTTAAGAAAAATTTAAAAATAATTGGTTCTGAAGAAAACATGTTGGTGAACATCCTAATAAAGAGGGAAAGGAGGGGGGAGGGGAAATACATACTGTAGCATGATGTAATCTCTAAGCACTGACAGTATCTGTTGGATAGCCTCAATACATTCAACAGCCTTTTTGGGCTTTTGAAAGCTTGTAGGACATCTGCAGTTAAAATGGTTTGGGCAAGTAGCTCTGAAGTTAAACTGCTGTCTTGTTTCTTGTTGGCTGTATTCTGTCCTCAGCAAGATAAGATAAAAAATCCTATTTATTGTCATGCATCAAAAAGTCATTGCTTCAGCTCAGTAATTATTTGTAACTACAAATCTTCAATTTGCAGTTTTGTCTTAATTTTAGAAAAGTTCTCTGCATGCGTAACTTACCAGATACCATTATGTTAGTTGCACTGTGGCTGGAATAGACTTCTGTCAGTTTTTGTAGATTGAGTGAAATTGCAGGAAAATTCTGTGTTTGTTTCTAGTGTACTAAAACTGAAGCATGTAGCTTACAGCTGTCAAGGAAGGTAAGGAGGAAATGGACAAGGGTAGAAATCACAATCTGATTATCACTTGGTGTTTGGTATTAATTGGCACAGCAGATATCACACAGCAACTGAGAAAATGTTTCCTGTAGTCTTCTTTACAAATTCTATATATGAAATATCAGCATGAAATGACTCCTCATTTACATCATGTCATGAATGATAGAATCATCTGTGCTTAAGAGAAAGAGGAGTGAATAGACTACTATAAATACATAACTGAGTATATTCTTTTCGTAATACTAATTCAAACCTGTACCTCTCACTTGATGAATTTTTCTTTCTTGTTCTTAGTACCGAAAATTGAAGCAAGAGAGAAACTAATCACTTATGAAAGAGATACAGCTGTAATGGTTTGTAAAGCTGACTCTACTCCCATGGCTTGGACCTGGTATATGATGAGTGGAAGTAAGCCGGTAAGGTCTCCATCTGTTGGCCAAGCAAAACAGTGTGGCAAAAGTATTGACAATGTGTAAGGCTCTTGATTGGAGGCTTTACAAACTGCATTCCCATTAACTTTAATGTTAACTCTGTATGTGGAAAAAATATGTGATGCTTAGAAGTAATCACTGTTACTGGGATGTAGATTTTTTTCTGGTTTGTATTATGTTTCTTTTCCAAGAAGTCCCTGCCATACTCCTGTAGACCACATAAGAGTAAAACAAATAAGGCGAGCCTTGGGAAACTTGGTTTTGCTGAATTTATGCTGGCTATATTGCTCAAATCTTGCCACTTGATACAAAGAAATCTTACGGTGGGACACACTTTTGAAGACCTGTAAGATCTTGTAGGTCTGACGGAGTACACAAGTATGTCCCTTCTCTTCCTCCTCCAGGGACAACTAATTCTGTTTCCTGGCCTTATGATCTCTTGGGGAGGTATAGCCACTGGGTTCTAGCCCTTTTCTGAGGGCTCTTGAGAGGCATTAAATAGATTTATTTCCATTGTACTATTGGAGAGTAGCACTAACTTGTGAGACTGTCAGGGTATATCCCAGTGTTCACATTTCAGTGCCCATGAAAGTTTATGCTTTGTGCTGTGGTGAAACCTGTGCATTAGATCTTGGCACCTGAGGATGCCTTTGTCGTCAGAGAGTCAAAGGTATCTTTTAGCTGACTTGAAATAAAAAAGACAACTAACCCACTGAAAGTTCATATTTCCTTTGAATCTAAAGGGAACCAGGGTGGCCACCTAAAATAAATCCTTCTCTTGGCGGTGGAGTAATTGTGTCACAAATGCCACTCGTTCCTCACCCCTTTTACATCTCTGTATAGAACTGTTTGTCCATGATACTGTTTGATTAAGCACTTACTACATTAATAAGACATGTAATGTATTTTTATTTTCAGGTTGTCATTAATGAATCTTTGAGGACAGACAAGTACCTGACTGACAGACTCTCTGCCAATGTAACCCGTCTGAGGGTACTCAAGCTCACCAAGGAAGATGCTGGTGTATATTGGTGTGAAGCTGCTTTCAAGTTAGGGAAAAGTGAAAAGAAGATGAAACTTACTGTTTTGTCCATCATGGCACCTCTCAAACCCTTTGTAGCAATTGTGGCTGAAGTTGTTATTTTGGTAACTACCATTATCCTTTATGAGTTGTATTCGAAAAGGAGAGGAAAATGTACAGGTAAGTTGTTCAGGGGTTTTTTTAATGATTTCTAGCTTTCCATTGAAATTGCAACCAAAGGTATGACCACAGTGCTTTATACATGAAGTTTAATGTGAATTTTACATAATTTCTTTCTGATAAAATACTTTTTTCTAGAAAACAGCATTATTTTAGATATTTAAATCTCTTCCATGAGTCTGAAATCTAATGCAAAGTGCATTCAATAAGCAGTATTTTCCCATAAAGGGTTTGATTTAGTGCTGATTTTTTTTCTTTAGAATACAAGGGAATTTAGAGGCTGTTCCTTTTTGGGGAATGCTTAGGAATGGAAGCAACTCATAGTAGCTTTGATGGGAGAAATCTGTTTAAAGAAACAGAGTAAGAAGGAAAAGGGCATTAAGCCAGAATGCTGGTTGCTGAACCTAAGGCAGACTAGCGGTGAGCAGAACCAGATGTGCAAGATGAAAGAGAAATTATAAAGTATTTTTATATGTGTGTTTAATGCATACATGCATGTATCAATATTTTACAATATAGAAATGTGTAAACATATAAAACATATAAAATATGTTTTGTATTAAAATCAGATTAATGAAACATTATTAAAATAAGCTATTTGACAAATTCGGAGGTAATTTCACTGAGCAGAGAAACAAGATAATATGAATTACAAATTTAAGAAAATTAAGTGAAAAACGAAGATTTTGTTTTGATTAAAAAATGAGTAAACAATACACTAAATCAGAATTTCTCTATTGTTTATTAAATTGCGATTTTAATCCTTCTTTATCTTTTCTACTGAAGGTGAAAAAGTATGTGACCAAACTGAGCAACTGTAAGTAAAGAATTTCTATACTGTAGTTAAGTATTTTTTCTTTTTTGTATTACTGATGTACAGAGTTATACCTTGTTGTTGACTTGGTTGGTAAGGGATGATGATGAATGTGGAAGTACAGTTCTATTATTTTACTCAAAAATTCCTAGTTTCAAGTGAGTAGAACTCTATTTTCTACCTGGCACTTGATTTTGAGATGAAGCTATTTCTCTTTTTTTTGAGAGCACCATGTGTCTTCATTATGACTGTAAATTACAAGGAAACAACTTTCATATGGAAATTTCGCAGAAGAGGCTTAGAATTTTTTTAAAATACATATTTGTCCATAGTAACATACATTTCTCTCACTTTCCCTTGGTCGAGGCCCTGACTCCCCTAGGTAAGCTTGTAGTTGCTGGGTTGTGTTGGGAGCTGGCCTTGTTGGCTGTTTTGGTGGGTGACTCCAACAGCTTGGAGGTGGTCTTGCATGGTGCTGATAACTTGGGCACCCTAGGCACAGAACTGGCTGCACTGCTGGCAACAGAGGAGCAGGTGTCGGCACTTGGGTTGCTCTTCTGCTGCTTGAGGGTCTGTGCTCCCATGCTGACTCCCCCATCCTTAGGATGGTGCATACCTATAGGCTTGCTTGCTAAAATGTGCTCTGCTTCCTACACATATTCTGAAGCCCAATTGCCTCATCTGGCCTGTATACGTCCTAAAACGAGGAAAGTTTCTCTTTTTAGATCTATTCAGTCTATTCTAGTTTTTCTCCCCTGTGTTGCTTCCCTCTTGTGTTTATCTCCCCTTTTCTCCTGAGCAGCTGTCTTTACCTCCCTCCTTGAATATTTTTTTTCTGCAGTGACCTTTGTTTCCCTGTGCTGCATTCACTTTCTCATTCCTTTTGCCAGAACAAGCTGAAAATACATTTTGCTGCTTTTCCCCTTATCTGAACAGATTTAAAGCTCTAACTCAATTATAGTACAAAGTGGCACTATGTCTTGGGAATATAGTATGCTATTACTTGGCTCAATATTTGGGGATATGTCTTGGATTGAAAATTGAATAATTGCCCTTATGTGCAGCCCAAAATTATGTTCTTGTAAACCCACAGAAACTGTATTAAAGTAGGATTATAATAAAGACTAGTGCACTAAAATAATGCACTAAAATAATGTTTTTATGCTTGTGGGATGTGGTTCTGCTTAATCTTAGATAAAAACATAAGAGGAAAATTTATTTAGCTATCTACTTCTCTGATTTCAAGAACTGAATGTTACTTCAACTGTTGGCTGTTTAGAATTTAGGTTTGTGTACCAGGGAAAATGGCTCCAAAGGAACATTTCTGTTACGTGTGGGATGAATAGTACACCTGAACGTGGTTGATGAGGCTATAATTTAAATGTCACATCCAACTATATATCTAGGTGGGAGTGTAATGATTCACAAAATTTTTTTTTTTTTTTAGCAAGAGAATTTTTAATTCAAGTCTTGATTGTGATCCACACCATAAACTAGTTGCAGTTACTCTGGAAGGAGTAATAATATGTCTGTTCCATTCCATGTTCTGAGAACATTGAGCTATACTGCTTGTATATTGTTTGAGTATTCATTTTGAATACAAATTCCTTATATTGAATGAAATGGTAGTGCAGGAATCATGTGGGAATGCTATTACTGTTCTAACTTCTGCCCAGAGTTTTATGGAGTTTTGGGGAGTGACTGAGTTGAGTCTTCACTTCTTGGTTGAAGGACTTTGAGTCAGTATTTTGGTTGCTTAATTTCTTCTAATCTTTTTTCTTCACATGCTGAAAGAGAAAATCTAATGCATTTGACATGTACTCTGTTTGGGCTGTGGGACTGGAATAGTTGTGGTATCTTCCACTTAAAGCTGAGTTTTGGAATTCAACCTCTTTTTTGTTTCAGTAAATCAGGCGAAGGGCAGTAGTGCTAGCCACAGAAGAATTTAATCCAGTTCCTGAAAAGGTAAGAGTTGAAACAGAGACCAGAGTTTACTTTTCTCTTGAGCAGCCTAATACTAGGACAAAGAAGTCCACTGTGCCATCCCGATCTGGGTTTTATGTGGTAGCAGTATAGTAATTGAACTATTGTTTAGGTTAAACAACATACAGTCAAGCAAGAAAGCAAGTCCAAATCCTATTAACTCTATTCTGTTGTCATTGTGATTTAATAGTTCCATTAACCCATGCAGTTTTTAAAATGGGACCCAGGTTAACCTGCCTAGCTGCTTGGCTCATGAAACAGTCCTGTGAATGCCAGGATAGGAGCTGAGATTCATAAGAGTTGCTACTGTATTCAAAATCCTGCTCTTTCAGGCTGTATTTTGGATGTTGAGTGAGTTCATGGAGGAAGGATCCAAGTGTAATAGCAGGTAGGGAATGTGATAGTACTGGAGAGATGAAATAAGGGTTAGAGCAGTCTAGGGAAAAAAGAGCTTAATAGATGGTGACTCAGAAGGATTAGTGGTAGAATAAGGAAGCAGAGGGTATGTCGCCCTGAGAAAACTATGTAATGAACTTTCTGATTCTCTGCCCAGTTTACAGTCTGATTATAGGCTGCTTATGCCAGCTGGAAGTGCTTGTCAAAGGATGGTCTGTCAGTCGAGGACCAGTCCTACACTATTTCCCCTCTGCATCTGGCACCCCAGACTTTCATCTGTAGATGACAGTTGTGAATGACTTTGCATTCACAAAATCACAGTCACTGCTGATACTGTTTATCCTCATCTCAAGCCACCTACCGGAATAAAGGTTGTTCCCATGCCCTTTGTTTTAAAGAACAGAAAGAGAAATGTCGGGTAAAACTCATGTAAAGAGAGTAACAAATCAGGAAACCAGAAAATTATGTTCCAAGGAAATACTGTCTCCTCGACTTCCTGCATGTTATTTTACTTTTGATTGCTCTGACTTAACATTTCCCCTAAGTGTTCAGGTTTAGCCCCAGCTGGCAACCCAGCCCCGTGCAGCCACTTTTGCTCTCTGGTGGGATGGGGGAGAGAATCAGATGAGTCAACGTGAGTGACTGCATGGGCTGTAATATAGACAGCTTAATAGTGAAAGCAGAAGCTGCATACACAAGCAAAACAAAGGATTCATTCACTATTTCCCAAGGGCAGACAGGTGTTCAGCTATCTCTGGACAAGCAGTGCTCCATCATGCTCCACCATGCATAATAGCTTCTTGAGTTAATTGGGAGGACAAATACCATCACTCTGAATTTCCCCTTTTTCCCCCAGCTTTATATGCTGAAAATCATGCCATATGGGATGGAATATCCCTGTGGTCAGCTGGGGTCAGCTACTCTGGCTATCCCAACTCCTTGTACCCACCCCAGCCTCCTCACTGGTGGGGTGAGAATGAAGTTTATTTTCAAACAAATATGGGAAAATACTAAGCAGCAAAATAGTAGATTTCCTATTGTAATACAATGTGTTTATTCTTTTTTATTGCAGGAGACTTAAGCCAACAGAAGTGGAAATCATCACAAAGAAGATGTATGTGGCTATGCATTTTAAACATTCGCTGTGTTTCTAAGTAAAGTCCTCTATGTTTATGAGAAAAAAGATGCTGTGAAACTGCTCATGTTTTAGAGATGATAATTTGATGTATTGCATTTATACTTTTGCTGTCTGTAACATTGTTTGTCTTTTTACTACTAGAAGTTTTCTGCGATTAGGTTTTCTGTTAGAGTGACTGATCTGTTGGATTTTATGCCTTAAACTGGAACTAACCTTGTATTCACTGAATGAATGGTTAATATAAGAATGTGCTTTATAAAGCTGGACATGTAAGATCAAAAAAGTATTTCCACCAAAGAAAATTCCTTTTACTAGCTGATGAAGAAAATGTGACACAGCCATTTTTACCAAAGAAATGGTGAGAGGGAAATCTTTATTATAATTTATATGAAACATTAACAGTTTTGCAATTTGCTCTGAACAGTAAAATGTCTTCTTTTGTAGCCACATTCTGACTGCTACTATACTGTACTTCATAATAGGCTGCACACTTAAATACAGATCAGATATTTGAGTACACAAAAGAAGTAACGGGGATACAGTACCTTCTCAGACTATGACTGCAATAATTTCTTACGCTTGCACTATCTGGGGCTGAAAACCATTTTTGTGATTGTAATTTATACAGAACACTGAATTTTAGTGAATTTACTTATATGGTTCTGATTAAACATCCTGCCAGGTTGGTACTTCTTTCAGCAAACTGTATTGTTCTTTAAACTCCTTGCAAAGCACAGAGAGGGTCTTGAGCAGCTAAAATTTTCAGGATAGTAGAATAAAGCAACATGAATACCACAAGTTCTCTTACACAAAACTTCTCCCACTGCTGTTAATGACTTATGGTATTGCTTTAGAAGAGTGAGTTGCCATAATACCATTTAGTTACATTATGCATCCAGCAATTGAAAAGTATTCAGCTAATAGGAAAACAGTTTGCTGCTTTAGTTGATTTTGCTTGTTAATACAGAAGAAAAATAAGTAAAACTTGAATTTTGATGAGGGAAAAGTAAAACCTTCAGGAAAATTTCTTTTCTCAATGAAAACATAAGGAAAAAACAGGCAGCATTTGTAGACTCCCTAGGAAAGTGAAAGGAAAAAAAAACATTTGAATAGCATTTCTTTGTATTGGTCATTTTTCCTTGAACATAAAGGAACAGAAGAGATAAAATGGATTTAATTTCCTTCCTTTATGTTCTTTATGTTTTTTTTCACGCATTTGAAAAAAAGCTTAGCACTGACTGTTTTGTTGCAGATGGGAGACAAAATCCAGTCTGGTCTATGTGATTTTGCTTTTCATATTTAATTTTTCAGCTTTTAAGAACTACAAGTTAAAGTTGAAATAAACCACAATGAGAAGTATATAAGCATGAGATGATTGTAAGAAATGAAAACTGGTAAAGATTTCCCTTGATTAGACACTGTGTTTTTTGTATTTTGCTTCAGAGTTTCTTTGCACTATAAAAATGAGAATGCATTTACAGTTTTTTATATGAATTTGTCATTGATACAGTGGCATTTTTGTTGCAGCAAGTAAATGTTTCCAGTTTTAAAAGGTTGACTTCTGTATACTGTTTGACATGTTTTGGGTTTGTAGAAAGTTGTTTCTTACAGGAAGTTCAGTAGTAAAAAAGTTAATCTTACAGATCCAAGAGTTAGATTCTGAATAAAACAGCACTAATACATTTTGCAATTGAAAATGAGACTCAATACTGTCTGGAAAAAAGCCCATCTCTTAATCAAAAATGGTAAGAACATCTTTCTGCCCTCACTTAGCATTCCTACCTGATCTTGAAATTCCAGTATGAAGTCTTGATTAACATAGGCAAGTCACATGAATAGATGGGGTTTTGGTATTAGCAAGTAAGGCTGCACTGAAGGCAGGGAGACCTCACCTTAAGCGTGGACTTCAGAAGCATCACATCATAGATCTATCAGGATTGATACTAGTTTGGTCAAATTGGCTACTGAACTAGTAGTTCTGTCTTGACCTGCCTCTATCATGTTCTGCTTGCCATGCCTGCCAGGGGTTTGGTGTTTACTTTTAGATTTACAAGTAGTTTTTTTCATCTTGGTGAGTAGTTTTATTCCATGTATGTTTGCCTAGGTTTAAACTTTCTTGGGTTGTCCTACAGATGAAAATTAAGAAATAATACTAAATGAGAAATATTAAATAGTTGGCATAATTAATGGTGAAATTCAAAGACATAAACCCTACTCATTTTGGTCCAGAAATCCCAGGGACCCCTGGAAGTCTTGAAATATATCTTTTGAGAAATCTGTATGATATACATTAAAAACATTCTTTTTATGATCAGTTTTATTTTGCAGACATAGCCTTCAGTGGAACAAAAATTTGGCAGCTTAAAAAGACCCCAAAACTCTGGGCAATGATTTTCTTTTTTTACTTCCGTCAAGCCAAGTGATACCAAATGAGGGCCAAAACAATTCTGGAGATATTTCCTTCAAAAGCAGTTAGAGCTAAGTGTAAGGATCCACAAAACTAGTTTTAATAACAAACATTAATAATTGACTTATGTAGATAGACTGAGTAACTATTACATTTGTTTGGCAGATCTTGTCTTCCAAGATCAAATGCTTTCTTGTAAGAGGGGATATCTTAGGGCTTTCCATAACAACAAAAAACCTTATCCATTACTTAGAGGAAAAGCTTGAAGTCTGCAAAAGAATCCTGAAGGTCTGTTTCCTATTGCTTCAGCCTGCTTCTCTGCAAATTCCTCGTCCTTAAATCTAAAGTAGACCCAAGCAGCTGCAAGACCAAATTCCTAGTGAAGATGGACAAATATTACAAGAGTTTTCAAACTGTGGGTTCACATAGAACTGTATGAATATTTCTTTAGTATGGAGACCTTAAAATTACTGTGCAGTGAGTCAACATAATTGATCAGCTGTAGGTCATTTGACACGTGCAGTCCTGGCAGAGAGAGGGGAAAATCTGTCATAATTGATGTTGCTACTGAAATCAGCATCCATGTGCCTCTAACTCTTCTTTTCAGCCAAAGCAAATGAGGGTTGTATTCTACCTTCAAATTTGTAACTTTCAATGACTACTGAGTAAGGAAGATTAAACTGACGGGTGTTTTCAGTGTAGGGGAATTTGAGTTGAGTGGTATCCTAAATATTGAGCTACCCAGCACATGTAGGCTGACCACAGCTAGCCACATCATGATTCAGTTCAAGTATGAAGCTTCCCAAAAATAGGAAAGTGAAAATAGTGAGGAAGAAAGTGGTTGAGAAGGGTGTAGAGACATGGAAGGGAGCTGTGTAGGAGCATTATATAGGGGCTCTGAGGGACAGACTGCAGTAGCTGAGATGACTTGCAATTATACAGCTATAGGAAAGACCAAGTGCAAATCTGTAAGAGAAAACTTCTTTCAGCTGTGCCACTCAGTGTTTGTTTAGGAAGTTCTGTACAGCAACTGAAAGCAACCTGCCATTGCTGAGCACTTGGACATGTGAAAACACAAAGCCAAATTGAGATGTCTTTGTAAGAGCATTATAAGTTATATGCTTACCAAATATTTCTCCAGTGGTTTAAAGCAGTTATTCAGTCTTGTTACTTCATTATGCCAGAACATTTTTATATAAGTCTTTATGAAAGAATAACCCAAGTTCTGAACATTACAGTTTGTTACTGAAAGTGTTGATTTGTCAAAATTACTGTTGGTAACTGAGTTCACGTTTGTAGTTGCTTGTTCTGTCATAGCCAAAAGTATTTTCTTCCGTAGAGAAACTTCATCTGATTTATTTTTGTATTCAGCCTTACATTTAACCAAAGAAAGATTTCTGTTCTTTTTTATTATGAGTGTAATATTTCTGTCAACTGCCTTGCTGAATTATTTTCAAATTGACATTAAAAGTTACGTAACAGTGCCTTGAAGGAAGAAATTTTTTTCACTGTAGTTAATTTTGTTTTTCTCTTGTGCAACATGTTTGTTAAAAGTCTACTCTGAAACTTGACAGCAAAATCTATTTTTCTAGTGAACGATTACTAAGCCTAATGCTTTTTTAACACTTGCCATATTTTAGATTCTGATTTTATATTCTCCGCTCACTTAACTGTTTTACCTGTATTGTTTAAGCAAATGGAAATAGCCTCTGTATGTTTGATGTATATTAGATAATGAAGACAGTAGTTACGAGTAGTGTGAATTGATAATACTGTACTTAGAAATATTTTCAATAAATTTAATCATAAAGTAAGAGTAAACTTAAGCCTGGTTTTTAAAAGAAACAAAATACCTCTTTTTTAAAATTAATTTTTATTTGTCCATACCATTATAGTTTATTTTGACCCACACTGCTCATTTGCTTGATGACTCATCTGTTTTTACTTAGGTCTTTAACTTTCTAGATAAAAATTCCCCAAAATAAAGTGATTTCTGATTAATTCCTTTCTAAATGCACATTCACACCTGGCTTAAATTTGTCCCTTCTAATTTGGACATCCGAGTTAGGAATTTAGATGTTTCTCTGTTAATGAGGGGTGGTGTTAAGGATTATCTTTCAGCAGAAAACAGCAGGCTAAATGGAATCTGAAGTGGTGTAAATGCCAGCCTAAATATCACCCAGTCTTAATTTTTTTATAAACACAAAATAGCAAATCTTCACATGAAGACAGACCTCTACACTTGACTTTGAAATTGAAATATACAGTTTTTTCCTTGCAGTTATTATTTGAAGAAAGACCTAGGGCTATTTCATGAGGTTGCTGCCTTCTATGATCATAAAGGTATAATGACATTTTGCTAGTACATACTATGTTGTTTCTGCTGTGTAAATTAACACATCCTTGCTCATTGCTCTCTTTGCCAGAAGAGTTCAAATGAGATTAATTAAACTGCACAGCAGCAAGTGTATATTTGTTCCCTCTTTTGGCAGTTGCTTTGAATGTCTTTGAGCATCTGGTTTCCCCAGCACAGGGCAGTTACCGGGCAGATGGACCTTTTGGAAGGGTACCACTACCTGTATTTCTACCACTTGGAATTTATTGTACAAAGGATCAGTCTGGACAAAAATATGATAGACTAAAGCTAGCTGCTACTAATAAGTTGTCACATCCTAAAGCAGACGTAGGATGTGCAGACAAGACCACTTGGTGGACAAGTTACTGCAATAAGAGGAAGAGTGAAGCTCCATGTAATACTAAATCCTTCTCTTACTTTTTGGGTTTTGTTGTTTTTTCTTTTTATGTGTACCATAGCCTTTAAAAGTCAGCATGTAGTAAACAGAGTAATAGCAGAGGGAGATAAAAGTTTGGAGTTCTTCCAAAAGAGAGGAATAAGAGAATTTATATCCTTTGCTGTTGATGGTCGTGAGTCTTCTAAAGGCATGAATACTTCTGAAAGCCATAAAGAAAAATAATAGAGCAGTACTGCTTAAAAAAACCCCAAACAACTTGACAGCTTCAGTGTATACAATGGATTAGAAAGAAGTCATGTCCACAGTGCAAGCAAAATAGCAATAGCCTTTCCATACTGTTTAACAACTATTGTTTACTCACTTTAAGCCTGCTGTTTCTGTGGATAAAGGGCCAATAATCATGTCTGACATTTTAAAATACATTACCTTCACATTACTTGATTACTGTTATCCCCACCTCCCACTGAGACTGTTGAACAAAATAAGGTCATGCAGTTACTGTTTGAAACTTGGAAAGTTTTTGTTCAGGGTTTATGTGTTTGTTTGTGGGGGTTTTGTTTGTTTTGCTTTTTAATAGTGATGTGGTTGTCTTGGTGAGCTGATCCCAATTTGCCATATAGCTTACCCGCTGCAGCCAATTGCACTGTCAGGACTGGGGATTGTTCCAGGTTCAGGTGCAGTGGTTCTGCTCAGCAAGAATCCATGCAAATCTCTGCAACTGCTAACTTTTATGACACAGAAATGAAGAAAAGAAGTAATAAAAAGAAGGAAAATGCTTTGAAGAAAGAAACTCAAATCCCAGGAAATAAAACCCCCAATTCAGAAAAGTTGAGTGTGTGAAAGTTTTTACTGGTCTTTTTCCATCCATGTATATATATAGACACTACTGAGAAAATACAGTGCAACTCGACACAGCCTGCTTTTGGATAAGTAAATAAAAGCATTTCTGTCAGATAGTTAACTTGGGAAAATGACCTTCCTGATCAGTTTGTTAAATCAGGCTGGACAGAAAACCTGCAAGTGTCTGTATACTCTCAGATGCCCTTATAAGGAAGTAAGATACATTACTTAAAAGCAGGTTAGGTAATTTCTCCCTTTTACCAATCCTCAGTTTTTGATAGTGCAAGTGTTTGAGCTAATGAATGTTCTGAATATTGTTTCCTGTAACCCTTCAGAGTTCCAAATCTTTGGAAGAGTTTTACATTGCTTCCTGTTTTCTTGACATTGGTAGTAAGAATGAAAAATGTTCTGCAGAGAAAGGAAGAGCAGGCTTTTCCCTAACTCACATTTCAGGGAGAATGACATCAGCTGCTATTTCAGCCTGTAATGATAATGGACTACATCAGACGTAGAATCATAAGGATGTCATGGTCATTGCTCATTCAACAAAAGCGTAGATGTTCTGTCAGCTGATCTGTGAGCTACTTCAGGGCACTGTTACCTTACTGTATACGAAGGAAAAGGTCCTGGTAAATGGCGGAATAAGGGGAAGAGTTGTGGTTTTATAAGAGAGAAGGGAAAATTTGCTATTAGGTGCTGTGCAGCAGTCACCCCTGTGCAAAATATTAATGCAGAAGACATGACAGTTTACTACTTGATAAAACAGATACCAGACTTTGACAACAAGACTAATATTTTTTCTGGCACATCTTACATAGTAACATGATACATTAGGTGACAGTTACAGAAGTACACTAGGATACCTATCTTTAATGGCCTTTTATAAGAGCTTTTCATGGTCATAGTATGTAGGTTGAGTGACAGAAAAAAGGAAAATTAATGCTGCCCTTAGAACGTTGTAAGCAGAGAGGCAGAAGTGACGGGATTTCAAAAAGGAGAGTCTGAAATAACAGGCATGGGCAAAGGTGTGTGTGGAAGAAATGGAAGGTGTTTGATACATTTCTAGGGAGATGAATAGCAAAAGCTGACATTGGTGAAATCAAACCCACTTCAGGAAAGTTCTTTTAGTTAAGTTCTCTTTCTTGGTACCAGAGAAGCTCAGAAATGTAGGAACGAATGAACAAGGTAAGAATAAACGAGGTAAGACATCTGGGCAGCACATCTGCCTTTGAAACACATGTAAGAGGCAGGTACAAGAAAACCTTTTCTCCAGACCATTGCCTGTCCTCTTTATTATTAATTTAAGTTTGGAAAGCATGTGGAAGGACATCTTACAGGTGATAGTCAGATCTTAATGCTTAGATTTGTCGATATATTAGTAAAAAGTAAAATCAGCAGACATGAGTATAAGCTGATGAAGTGTTAGTATAGGAATAGATGGTGTTGCCACACGGATTTGTAGGAGTTACTTGAAGGAAACCATAAACTTACGGAAAGAGGGAAATGCTGTATTTGGTTTTCCAAAACATTTTTGACAAGGTCCATACTAGCAATTTCTGAAAAGACCAAGGCAAAAAGCAACAGACCTGTTACAGAACAACAGAGAGTTGCTTTAACAAGAAACAGAGAAACATGAATAATGTGCGGGGATCAATGCCAAGATCCATGCTGTTCAAAATACTAATAAAATCAAGAAGGGTGCTTAATGAAATGGGAGACTTCATTGATACTAACAATGAATCTGAAAACGAGTTTTCAGAATTGTAGAAGAATAACATTTTAAGCAAGTTTAAGTGGCAGATAACAGAAGTTGATAAAAGCAGAACAATAGTTTATGTACAGATTGCTAGGTTGTAGTTTTCCCACGAGATATCATTAAACTGAGAACTAACTGCTGCAGCTTATTATGAATATCAAAGCTTAGACAAGCTTAAAATGTAATTATGTAAATTCACAAATGAAAAGTCTGCCAGTATTAAGTACTGATTAGAGCCTTTGTCTCAAGGACAGTCTAATCCAAGGATGGGTCAAATCGTGGTAGATATCCCTGAACTGTGTCACTGTGTGCCTGCCATACTCTCGCACCCTTTCTGGTGATCTGCTAAGGGTTCCTGGTAGAAACACGCTGAATCTTTGATGTTCAGTTACTTAGGGTTAATGCTGCAATAATCATAGAAGAACTGCATAATACTAATTTCTTTTTTTTCAAAGAAAATGTGGTTGTTTCTCACCACATAGAACTCTTAGATCAAGAAAAGCTAAGGCACAGTTTGCCCGTTTTTAAATTTTTCCTAATGAAAAGCACCATCTAGTAACCATTTATATACCTTAACCAGGCACTGAAGTTTTCACTAAAGTAAGTATGACTCTTCATCCATATCTCTTTATACTTCTAGTGGGGTTTTTAATATGAAGAGAGGTAATAAATCAAATACTTCGAAACAGACAGTTAAAATGCTATTGATTTTCTCTTCAATTTTATTTCCTGTGTTAGGAGACCTGTCTTGGAGGTACACGCCCCAAAAATCTAAACTTTTCATGTTGGTGGGTAGCCAGCTATGGGGGTGGTTTGATCCTGGCCAACTGCCAAAATACCCACACGGCTGCTCACTCATTGCACTTTCCTGAGAGAGGGAGGAAATGGAAAGCAGGCAAAAACACTCTCCCATCAAGACAGTGACACTTTAATAGGGGAGGCAAAGGCTATGCATGAAAGGAAAGCAAAACCAGGAATTCATTGTCCACCTGCCACTGGTGGGCAGATGTCCAACTGCTTCCTGGGAGCCAGAGTCTCAGCATGTGTAAGAGCTGCTTGAGAAGGCAAATGTTATATCCTCCTCCTTATTCTGAGCTTTTCTTGACAAGAAGGACACTCTATGGGATGGAACATACCTTTGGTCAGTTAGAATCAGTTGTTGTGTCTAGGTAGCCTTCTGGTGCCTTGTCTGCCCTGAGTTTACTTGCTGGGGCAGCAGAGTGGGAAAGAGAAAGCCTTGACACTATGTAAGCTTTGTTCCACAATGGCCAAAATACTGCTATATTATCAGCACTGTTTTAGCCACAATTTTGAAGCAAGCACTGTATGGGCTGTAATGAAGGACATTGACTCATTCCAGCCGGATCCAGCACATCAACATTTTACAAGGCTGAGTCTCCTTTCCAATACTGGCCCTGAAACAGACCATAAAATCTCTTTTTTCATATATAACTGTCAT